AGTATGAGCGCGGCTTCACTATTTCCAAGGCGCTTTCTCGAAACTAGAATTTACTAGATGTGGTTCGTTTGATTCAGGCCAAACGGAAAAGTTTCGCTAGCAATCGAACGGCCCGTCACTAAAGAGAGGAAGGAAAAAGTCGAGGTTGCTCTTTATTGTTCCACTGTTTTTTGATTGAAAGTGGTACGAAATTCAAGGTCGCCGAACGCGATGAAAATTTGAAAAAAAAAGATTCGGAGCCTACTGATAGCTTGCCAATCACGTGGTTACACAAGACGTGACAACTGAGTGCGTTGTTGCGAAGCGGTCAGCCTTGCTGCTCTTCAGTCGCCAAGGAATAACACGCGAAAACGCAACCGTTTCGCGGTCGCTCGCTTGTCATGTTTTGCGGCCTTCCTTCTACTGTGACTGCCGAAAATCCACTTATGAGTATTGAGAGAAATTGGTTTTATAGCGGTTGCTGTCAATGATTGAACATCAGCCAGCCTCAGTTATGTTGGAACCGGATGTTGTGGAAATCCTAGCACGTTACAATGCGAGACTCAAGGCACACAAACCACCACCAGCGGTTCGTTACTGCGCTCATTGTTTTTTTGGCAACAATAACATAATTTGAGGGGAACTCCGTCTTCCTCCCTGAGTAAGGATAGGACAGCTCCAGATAAAAACACCACATTCCCGAAAATGCTGAATTGTGGATCAAACTTTCGCCCCAACCGGGATTCGAACCGTGATCTCTCGCTTTCCGGGCAATACTGCTACCGGTCACACCACCTACATTCAACATTCTTGTCATATAATTTGAAACGCGATCTGCTGCGTAAAACAGCAGCTATCAATAAAAAAACAAGCCAACATTATAACATTTGTTTCAGCGTAGTGCCCTCGCCAAGAAAGGTGCACGGGATGATAAGCACACAGCTTGTGTGAAATCCAAGATTGAATCGGTTCAAATAGGGATGGACAATGAAATTCTACAGGAAGATCTCGAGGTGCTTGATACTTTACTTAGTTTCCAACCTTATGTGGGCTGTTTTGTGAATCGTGGTCGTGGGCGAAAAAAGGGAGGTGGTGAAGTGGCTAAAACGAAATCGTGATAAAACTTATGTGCATGAAAGGGAAGGACGGGTAGTGGGTCATGAATGCCTAAGTAGACGAAAAATGTCTTTCGCTACCGAAGACATTTTTCGTCTACTTAGGTGTTAACGACTTGATAAGGCGCCAAAGTTGCCTTAGGTGCCCAGATGGTTCACATACACGCCTACGCATGAAAGGGATTATACAGGAAACGTTTTTGAGATGAAAGCGTTAGAGTCGTTATTCTGTTTTCACTCCTAAGTCCTGTTTCTTTAGTTTTCGGTCCCTTTTCGTATTCCTTATTTCTATAGACGCATGTCTTGGCACCTGTACTTTCACAGTTCGACGGTGCCATCTTATTGCGAGTGCTACCTTGAAGGCGTACTTCACGATGAAAAAAAGCCCTTCAAAAAGCAAGGTTGAGGTGGTCAATAACGTGGAAAAAACGGTCTACGGGCCAGAATGGGATCCCTTTTTACTCATTAATTGGCGCGTTGAGTGTATTTCATTGGTGCTGACCTCATCAACGTTAGCACTCTTTCTGCTATAGCGGCTCGAGTCAGACGGCGAGGGATGGGCGGGCAGCGGCGATAGTGACACGGGGCCATGCCAGATCGCCCGGGTTAAGCTCCGCTACAGGGTGTGTCAGTCCGCACCCTTACGTGGTGCGCCTCTCCTTCCACTCCAGGTAGGTGCAGGTTAAGTGTCTGGAGTAGCTTTCGATCATGCGAATAGTGCGCCTCCAACCACTACCCCACATTTATATTCTGTTTTTGAATTTTCCTACATTCTTTTTTTTCAGAAAGTACCCATAAAGACGTATGAGACATCGCTGGCAAGGCTCCAGAACCAGGATCAAAAAGATCCAAATTCTATTTGCATCACCGAAATGATACAGGCCGATGGAATTCCAAATCCGCCTCCAACTTGAGAATCCATCTATCACTATTATTTTAAATGTATTGTATGAGTAAGAAATAGCTAACAACTAAATAAAAATTGAAGTTTCTGAAGTGTTTAAAGGTGAATCAGCTAAGGTGCGACACGATTAATTTCTCGAGAGTGCGCCACGCTTTCGACTCCCATCTAGAATAGCAGATGCAGTTGACCACGTCTAACCCGCACTAACGTCTGCTAAAAGTCGATACTGCTGTCATTCTTATACAAGAAGTGAGCCAATGTGGACTGTTGGTTCTTCTTCGTTTGCTTTGGTCTGGCAAAAAGTTCTTTCTGAAGGAAATCGGTGGGTGTGTGCAACCATTACCTAACAAAAGCGCTCGATGTTTTTGAACCGTAATTAAAAAAGAAATTTTTTCACAGTCGCAGCCAACTAACGCCGATTGTTGCACATACGCACCATTT